GAAGAGCAGGGCACCCCCAGGATGGGATGCCAGTCTGTGACAGGGCACACAGCAGGAAGAGCAGGGCACCCCCAGGATGGGATGCCAGTCTGTGACAGGGCACACAGCAGGAAGAGCAGGGCACCCCCAGGATGGGATGCCAGTCTGTGACAGGGCATACACAGCAGGAAGCGCAGGGAAAACCCACGACAGGATGCCAGTCAGTGACAGGGCACACAGAATCATGTCTGTAGCTCTGTCCAGATGTCTGTAATATTCTTTGTATGACAATGTTGTTGTACATAATGAACCAAGGACATTCTCAGGAATTGTGTCACATGTCAGGCTTTATTCGCTAATTAGCCTCAACTAGCAGTTTTAGGCAGCTTGTATGAAAATGTAACTAGATCTGTGTGTGATTGCTTCTGCCTCGCTGTGGCAGGTCCTCTCCTCCAACAACACGGACTGCACAAAGCTTTTGGAGGAGCTGCAGTGTGCCCGCTGTTCTCCTCACGCCCAGCTGCTGTATCACACAGCCAGCCCCGGACGGGCACCACGCGGGCAGCCTCACCTGCCCATCCTGTGCCAGGATTACTGCAAACGGCTGTATTACACCTGCAGGGGACATATACCAGGTATGCCTGACCTTCCTGGCCAAAGTGACCTAACTGAGCGGTGTAACAGCCACCCGGGCAGGGTGACCAGGCAGAGGTCAACTGATCTTCTGAGCCGTCATGCTTACTGCCTCCAGAGGCACATCACTCCACTGGAGCTTATCACAGACTGAAGATGAAAACAGCCACAGCTCAGCGTTTGTGTCAGACCTCGCTGTCATTTGCTGTCGTGGTTTTATTCTGAGCATCACTGATCACTGAGCTTTTATGGCGGTCAGGGACGTCTGGGTGAAATCCAGCAGACACCTGTACTCATCGCTCTTTTTTTTGGTCCTGTCAGGTCCGAAGCAGAGTGCCTCCCCGTTTCATCCTGAGATCTCCATGAACGCTTGCTATGGCGGACTTTGATTGACGCTTGTTAGTGTGTCGTGTTTGTGTCAGTGGCTCGCAAGATACTTACATACACAGAGGAACAAAAACCGGACCACTGATTCTGATGTGCAGTATGCTCAAATCAATTCTGATAAATGGATGTACCAAGACCTTGCTCAAGGGTACAACAGCAGGACCAAAAGGGTTGGTCGTTAAAATCTGTATAGTAGATGTGTGCACACGACAGTATAATAGGCAATAAATAAATGTACTACTGTCATAAACAGATACAAGGCACAAAAAGGGGGCACAGCTGATGGTAAACTGTGTGGCTGGCTTGTGGTTTGCTTACTAAAAACGGCCTGGAAACTTGGTTTCTAATGTTGCTGGTCCCCGTTAGAGAGGAACGTCTGCTTCTGGATGTTGTGGCAGAAGCTTCAAGAAGGACAGGCAGCTTGAATATTCCAGAGTTATATTCTCCTATTATAGAGAGCAAGTGAAAGCGAATGTGAAGAGACAGGGAGTGAGAATGTGAAAGGATAGGGAGTAGGAATGTGAATTGACAGGGATAGGGAATGTGAAAAAACAGGAGCTGAGAATGTAAAAGGACAGCAATAGGGAATGTGAATGGACAGAGACAAGGAACGTGAATGGACAGAGACATGGAATGTGAAGGGACAGAGAGACAGGGAATGTGAAGGGACAGAGAGACATGGAATGTGAAGAGACAGAGACATGGAATGTGAAGGGACAGAGAGACAGGGAATGTGAAGGGACAGAGACAAGGAATGTGAATGGACAGAGACATGGAATGTGAAGGGACAGAGAGACATGGAATGTGAAGGGAAAGAGACATGGAATGTGAATGGACAGAGACATGGAATGTGAAGGGACAGAGAGACATGGAATGTGAAGGGACAGAGAGACAGGGAATTTGAAAGGACAGGGACTGGGAATGTTTGCAGAGTCTCTCTGCAGATGTACACACGGTGACAAATGGCACATTTATTTTTCTACAGTCAGTGTGTTTATAAAACTGCTGAAGTGTGTCGAGATGCGAAGTGCTTTGGACGGCCACCCACACTGCGCTGGAAGATCACCAGACAGGATTATAACATTAGCGATGGTCTGCACACAATGTCGGTCCTGGGATGGGAAGCATATTATGAAAGGCTATCTTTGGCCACTGTTTTCTTGTATGTCGTCAGTAGCATAAAACTTACTGTAATTCAGTGGGGTTGGGAGAGAACTTCATCTACTAATAGAACATGAAAGGAAATGAGAGACACAGCCCTGTGCCTGTGATCGGAAGGTTGCTGGTTTGAAACCCAAAGTTGGCAGGGTGATGTCACTGTTGGGGCTATGAGCAAGACCCTTAAACCCCATTGCTCCGGGGGCTGTTTGACCCCACTTTCTCAAAAAAGATCATTTTGGATAAAAGCATCTTCTAAATAAACTAAATGTAATTGAATGTGATCTCCTGGCCTTAATTAACAACAGTGTCTTGATTTTGCCTTCTGACAGCACACAGGGACTCAATGCCAGAAGTTGGGGTTTTGATGTGTAATGTATAGGATGCAGTTTAAGTGGATCCAACTCATTAACGAAGGCCTGGTTTAAGGGCCTCATTTTTTAAAGGTCTTCCTCGCATAAACAGCACAAGTCCATCTGGCATCCTTATAGCAAAATCGCCAAAACTCATTTTCCACAGCCACAAAGTATACATTAAACGGGGCTCGAGACCATCAATCCAGTGGAACACACGTCTAGCCACTCTAGAATATTCTGCGGTAAGTTTAGACATAGACTGTCTAGAGGGCTGTAATGTTTAATGGACAGTTATCTGCATGCTGTACGGAGCACTGCATACACCTCGCACACTGCAGCCATTCTGCAGTGGGAACTGCGCACTGACCCCTGAGTGCTGTCTGGTGTGGTGTCTGATGCGTAATGTGTGACATCAAATGATCCAGTGTCACCACTTAAACCCGGAAAAAGGCAGATACAGCTGCTTTTCCGGAGCAGCACAGACCTATGGGATGTCTTCGAAGTCCGTTTTGCACTGGAGCAATTTTAATCATTTGATTTTCTTTTTCCTCTCCTTAGAGCTGTTCCAAGCTGACGTGGATGAGTTTTGCCAGTACTATGGAACCGGAGGCAACAGCCTGTGCTTTCCGGATTTCCATAGAAGACAAACCCGTGGGCCATCCTCCAACTACTTAGACCTGACGGATGACTATGAACAGAAGGAAGATTTTAACAGGTTCATCTAAATCCATGTTTATAAATTTAGTTCGATTTGAAAGCATATCTGTAAAACTGAGCATATTTATGGCTTCTAGGTCACATAATGGACTGTTCTGGTGTTTGTTCCACAAGGGCTGATTAAAGTGTCTTTAGCATTTGCAGGGTTTTTGGCAGTAATGCTTTGTATGGGATCCTTGAATGAGCCGGTCTGCCTCACTGAGGGTCTTGCAGGCTTGTGGTATCTTACAGACCGGTGCAAAGACCCAAGTGGCTCAGATATAAAGATTCACTTCAGGCAGAAGATGATATCCAGGGAAATCTTGAATCCTTTTCTATTACAAAATGTTAGTGTGTGTTTCCAATTTGCGTTGGTGTCAAGGGGGCACAGAAGCCAAGACGATGACGGACTGAAATTCCTCTCTCTTCAGTTCATTGGTGTATAAAAATCTGTCCTTGTCTGGCTGTGAAGACAGGTCTCACCATGTGATTCTCATCGAGGCCTTCACTGGCAATCCTAGGACAGGCTTTTTAATCGTATTAGACTATTGCTAAAAGGCATTTAATGATGCCACGTGACGTCGAGTGAACTTGAACGCACTGGGTGTTTCTAAAACATGCGATACTTCCTTGTCTTGTTTGGACCAGGCTCTGATTCTGAGGTATGATGTGTTTACTTGGTCTTGACTAAGTTGGCCGTGACTCCTGAGTACAGAAACTGGAATGAGGTCAGGTCCTTGTAGTATATGTCCAAACTTAATATCAGTACATTATGCAAATAAAATACATAGATTTAAAACTGATGAAAATCAATATTATGTGTCTAGTAGGAACTGTGGGCATCTCAGTTTGGACCCCAGGAATGACCTTGACTGGATGATCCTCTTGGTGACCACCTGCCCGCTGTTTTTTGCCAGGAAACACAAAGACAGCTGTTACTGTGCCATGGAGGTGGCGGGGGGGCTGCGGCAGCCCGTGGGGGCAGTGCACTGCGGGGACGGCTCCCAGCGGCTCTTCATCCTCGAGAAGGAAGGTGTTGTCCGCATCCTCACCCCCAGCAAAGTGCTCATCAGAGAGCCATTTCTGGACATCCACAAGCTGGTGCAGGCGGGCACGAAGGCAAGAGCTCGCGTGAAAGATGTCCGTCCACGAGAAATTGCTTCATAATAAAAGCACCTGAAGTGAAGTGGCTGTGCAATTTAATGCATTAAACACTGAAAGGTCCAAACAGTTACAGCAATACTGATGCTAACTGAGAAATACTGCTGTGATACTGATGCTAACTGAGAAATACTGTGATTTAATGTATTATACATCCAAACGGCCAACTAGTCAAGGTTATACTAATGCTAATTTTAGGCCTTTCCTGGTGATCAAAAACCATGCTTCTTCTTTCTTTGCTCTGTAAAGTCATTGATCAATAAGCAATCCTAAATCCTTCATCAAATGATATTCTCATAAGAGATTAGGGGTCATGGGGAGATGGGGGGGGGGGGGGTTTTTCAAAAAACAAAAACCTCTCAGTTAGCTGGCTTAACTTAAGCGAGAAGTTGTGATCGTCCAATAGGAGTTCAAGTAAGGAGCATTCCTATTGGACAATCATGACTTGGTTTAAGTTGACCCAGCTAAGTGAGACATCTTGCTTTGTTGACCTCCCCCCCCCCCCCCCACAGCTTGAAGATTTAGGTTTACAAGCTGCAGCATTTGTGAGTGATTATGGCTTCATTTCGCTCAGTTTTGCGGGAAAACAGCTCAACTTATGCGGCTCCTTCTCGATCAGAAAAACAGACACCTGAGGGACCAGCATCAGTGATGGATCATTTTTAAACATCTCCCCCAGTTTCAGAGCTGCAGGACTGGGACTGTGGCCTCTTTGAGTGCCTTAATTCCCTGTCATCCTGCTCTGGAAACCCCGTTTGCCTACGGTGTTAATGGGCTGGAGACGGCATAGTGACCAGGGCCTCTGCTACCCAGTGCTGTTTCATTAGAGATTAATATCCCCGTGTGGGATGCGTGTAAAAGTGCAGCTGAGCTGTGGTAAAGTCAGCTGGTGTCCTTCCAGCCTCACAGCTGTGCTGAGTCGGGCCGCGCTTTCAGTTTTACTACGCCGCAACCTACGCCTGCCCTTAGTGTGGTTTATACTTTAATAAATCTTACAATATCCAGCCCTATGATTCCATTGCAATGTCACAGAGGCTTCTAGCACAGGTTGAGCTCAGCTTCTAGGAGATTCATAGTGTGTACAGCTATAGAAATACCTGAATGTTGTGTGAACGTTTATCAAGGTGAGATCGGTGGGTTTGGTTCCTGGGCCATAGAGCCTGACCAGTTTAAGTTCCTTCCTTTTGTTGAATTTGTTGGTCCCAGTTTGAGCCCATTCCCGTTGGTCACTTTGTTGTTTCTGGTTTAATTAAGTCCCTTTCTGTTGATTACTTTGTTGGTTCCCAGTTATCCCAGTTCCCGTCGACTGTTCGGCTTACAACTCATAGTAAACAAGACAGTAAGGGCTATAAGAGAGGACGCATGAGACAAGGGGTTTCCGGCCTTTGTTATATTCGGGGGAGGGGGGGGGCAACTGGGGATCTCAGTTGGAGGGGTCAAGCATCATACGGAGATCACGTCCACCAATCAGTGTACAGTGAGGACAAGAGAGAGGGAGAACCAGTAATAGAAGATCGGGGATATGCTGAAACTTCCCAAATGCTAAGGCCACAGGCGGCAGGGCAGAAGAGTGGGAGAAGAGAGAGGGCACAGACATCGCTTAGGAACGGCGGAGCAGAGCTGGGCTGAGAGAAAGAGAGACGGTGGAGGCTGAGGGGGAGAAGGGGAGGTGAGGGCTTGCCCCGGGTCCCAGCTGCAGCATAATTAACTTCACTGCTCTTTGTGTTTCTCGTTTGACTGCAGGGAGAAGATGAAAGGGGCCTCCTAAGCCTCGCATTCCACCCCAATTACAGGAAAAACGGAAAGCTGTACGTCTCCTACACCAGCAACCAGGAGCGCTGGGCCATGGGGCCGCACGACCACATTCTGCGCGTGGTGGAGTACACCGTCTCGAGGTTAGAGGCAGAGCAAAACATTAAAACAGCACAACCACATTCCGCACGTGGTGGAGTACACCGTCTCGAGGTTAGAGGCAGAGCAAAACATTAAAACAGCACAACCACATTCCGCACGTGGTGGAGTACACCGTCTCGAGGTTAGAGGCAGAGGAAAACAAAAAAC